ACCGCCCAATTCGAGCGCGTGGCAAGATGTGACCGCCCGGCGATCGATATTGCTATGCGCACATCTCGCCACGCGCTCGAATTGGGCGGTAGGCCGGCCTAAGACAACGATTTTTAATAATTAATTACTCGTTAACTATTACGAAAATTGCAAAATGGTACAGGACTTTTCCGTTCATCTCGATCCGTTCTACCATCTCAAAAATTTTGTCGGATATGGAAAGACTCACCCTGTATAAGTCCGTAATTAATTAGCACCAATTAATTTGTGACGACTACTGCGTATAATTGCTACAAATTTCTTACTTAATATACTGCACCCATTCTGGCGAAAATTCTGGCAGAATAGATCTCGAAAAACCATCCAATTTACTATTTTCAGCTATGCGGGTTTTCATAACTGCTGGGTAATCACCAGTTGTTGAGAAAATAGGATGAGCCATCCATCCGCAGTCAAATTGGAAGAATGTGTCTACTGCTGCAGTATCGGCAAGATTTTTGGGCAATGCGCCGAAGCAATGTGAAACTATACCGATTTGGCCTTTCTGTTGTTCACGAAATTCTGTGTCGTAGATGTGATAAATCTTGGCATGTGCCTTCAGAATATTATGTACACACAGATATTTACCAGGAGAGCCTAATTTCTTTCCTAAAATAATATTCTGTTTTAAAAATTATCCAACTTTGTAAAAAAATATTAAACGTTTATCGGTAAATAATGAACAAACATAAAGAATACCTGGTGAGTGTACACCAAGAGAATATCCATCAATGCAAAGAACATTAGGTTCATTGATAGTCATAAAATATTTAATATTGGCCCCGAGTTCTTTGAAAACGACTCTTGCATAATCGGAAATCCATTCTACCATCGTTTCATTCATCCATCCACCCATGCGTTCAAGGACATCTGGATGATCCCAATGATACAAAGTAACAAATGGTTCGATGCCATTATCTAGTAATTCCTTGATAAGATTTTTGTAATAATCAAGTCCCTCTTGATTAACCAAGTTAGCGTAACCAGTTGGTAAAATACGTGACCAACTGAGAGAAAACCGGTAAAAGTTAACCTATATTTATAAAGACATTATAGTTTGACTTTCTATATTCCACATCGTTAAAAATTTTTTTATACGATATTTATACAGAATGTACCCCCATGCTCTTTAATAATTGCACATCTTCTTTATACTTATGGTAGGAATCACAAGCCACATCGCCATTGCTACCATCAAGTATTAAATCTGGATGTTCGTGTGTCCATCGGTCCCAAATATTCTCACCCTTACCTTTTTCAAATTAAGTACATCATAATATAAATTAATTATAAAAATAACGAAAATGACTATATAATATTCTATAAGTCTTGTCTGTATACCAAAGTTGCTAGGTTCTCTTAATGCATCAATAACTAAATGACATCGAGCATTAAATAAAGATTCTCTACATACCGCCTTCATTCCAACCTCCTTCTATTTGATAAGAAGACGAAGCTGTGCCAAATAGAAAATTTTTGGGATAAGATAATGTGTCGTGAGCAAAGCCATGAGTGACAACAAAAATAAGGCTGAAAGCGACTCCGAGAAACGAATAGCTCGCCATTGCGAAGACGACTGAGCATCAGTATCTTGGCAATTGAGTATTATCAGCCATTCATACAGACCCTCCATATATTCTTTTAATGATAGCAACTAATTTCTTAATGTTTCTCTCCTTTTACACATCGCGTACGGTCTCATTTATACAGTCAAATGTCTATATGATAGAATTTGCAATTAACACACACATTCATATAATATATGTATAGTTTAATCGAGTTTTTTCTGTGCGATTTTTTCTATGAATCAATACTTTCTGATTATTTCTTGTTATAAACTTTTGGACAAATATTGAATATAAAATTTACATGTTAAATGTATACACGTTATGTTTTTTTTAACATTTTGTTTTTGTTTTACACATTTCCTCTTACAGTACGTACCATTCGGCTACTAATGTTCGTCTGTTCAAGACATAACTCTCGAGATAAACTTCGTTTCAACAATCGACCATGAGTTTTATAAAATTGACTACGGTAACTTTTTCGTGAAATGCAGCCACATCTTACGTGATACATCATGTTCACGCTACTAATTAATAAGATTCTATCGAAGTTTACTTGAGAAGGGCTCGAAACGGAGCCGAAACGTTGTATTTGTATAAAGTATTTTTATCTCTTTTATTGTAATTTTTTATTTCGATTGAAAAAATTATAGCATCAAATAACATTAAGATATTAATTGTTTATATCGTAACAATATATAGAGGCTAAACAGTGAAAACATTTATATGAAACAGAATGTTGTATATCTTAAAAACGTATAACCATTATAGTTTATCATTACAGTCTATCGACATCTTTTATCGGACTTATTAAGTCTGACCTTCAGTAAGCAATTTGTGAATGTTGCTCAAACTTGCACATGTTGCGTTAAATAAGTGCAGTAGTTTTACTTGAC